CTTTCTTTCTTTCTTTCTTTCTTTCTTTCTTTCTTTCTTTCTTTCTTCACCCAAGGCATGTGATCCTGTCCACCATTAAACCATCTTTCCAAGCAGTCACCATGTTTCCAGTGTCTTTCTTCCCCACTTGGAACTGAACCCAGAAGGCTATTTCTTCCAGCAAGGGGATAGATTAAATTTCGGATCTCTTCCTTTATACCCTCTCCAGCCCAATATTGTCCTTTTGTTTTGCTGCCGAAGGACTGGGGTGGCAGAATAGCAGTCTTCCAGTATTTGAGGGGCTGCCACAAAGAAGAGGGGGTCAACTTATTTTCCAAAGCACCAGAAGGCAGGACAAGAAACAATGGATGGAAACGAATCGAGGAAAAAAGCAACCTGGAATTGAGAAATTGTGAGAACAATTAGCCAGTGGAACAGCTTGCCTTTGGACTCGAAGACATCTGAGATCCTTTCCAGCACTATTCTAATTGATTGATTGATTGACTGAGTGAAAGTTGACAAAGTCTTTGTCCAAGCCTAGTTGGTTAGGCAGAGAATGACACTCTGCACATGGGCAAAGGTAATTTCCTGACTAGATTAATTCAATCAATCAGAATAGAGCTGGAAGGGACCTTGGAGGTCTTCTAGTCCAGCCCTCTGCTCAAGTAGGAGACCTATACCATTTCAAACAAGTGCCTGTTCAGTCTTTTCTTAAAAACCTCAAGTGATGAAGCATCTACAAACTTTTGAAAGAAAGCTGTTCCACTGGTTAATTGTCCTCACTGTTAGGAAGTTTCTCCGTAATTCTGTGTTGCTTCTCTCCTTGATTAGTTTCCAACCATTATTTCTAGTCCTGCCGTCAGGTGCTTTGAAAAATAAGTTGATTCCACACCCTCCTCTTTGTGGCAGCCCCTCAAATACTGGAATATTGCTATCATGTCACCCCTACTCCTTTTGTCTAGATTAGCCGAACCCAAATCATACAACTGTTTTGGGGGCTCATTCTAGTATGCTATGTCTCTTTAACCCATTGCAGTTAATAGTTTAATTTTATTTTGGTATGAATGCTGGTCTTGGGGCTTGACCACAAATATTTGACTTGATCACATTTGCTGGACAATAATAACGTGCAAGGAGAACCAAGTGTCATCATGGGATTATGTGTTTAGACAGCACAAATTCTAACAGCTATGCTTTTTAAAAAAAAGTCCGAAATGTCAAAAGTTTTTCAGTCTGTTGGTTAGGAACTCCTGGAGAATCACAAGGCTTTGCTTGTCTTTGCCTGCACAAGCCCCAAGATGCTAATCCTGAAAATCTTGATGATTTTGTGTGTGTGTGTGGTGACTAGTATATTGCCTATCTGTCTTCCAAGATTATTCTTACACTCCTTGTGAGCTCCATCCCTTTTTTATGTCCTTATGACATCATGACACATGTGCAAAAGGGGTGGGACATGCATTTCAATCCTGTTTTGTCCATCTCACACACAAACTGGAATGCAAAAACAGTTAAAACAAACTTCTGCTAAGTTTTGGGAAAGAACAGGGGATGAGAAAGAAACTCGAGATAACCCCAGCTTGACTTTCTTCATTATAAGAAGGTAGAAGGGTTTTCAAGATTCCATCACAACGCACACTGCGACAATAAAGTGAAATTCCAGTCATTCTTGTGGTGTCTGGTTCACAAACTGGCCTACTTTAAAAGGCTGACTTCGGTCTTGCAAGCACGCCCGGGGGGAAAAAAGCAAGGCAGGCATATTTCGATGAAACATTTTTTAAAAACGCATCCCTCATCAAAAAGGACACACACGAGGACATGGCAAACTCCAATCCACGATCTTTATTTCACTCCCTAATAAATAAGCCCCGGCATTTTTCTGGAACTGCAAACACACTGGATTATTAATACTGAACAGATCTACAAAATTGAAGGAAAGAGACTGTCCCTCCCTCCCTCCCTTCCCAAGCCAAGTTTTAATGGGGGAAGGGTGAAAAAAAAGGGAGAGGGCCTAAAACCTGGCTCTTCCAGGGGGGTTTTTTGTGGGGGGAAGGGAACACAAAATTGACAGACACACAACCCCCTCTCCAGGAGGGGGCAGAATTAATGCCCCCTCCCTGCCGCCGGCAGTATATTTGAAGGGCTTAAGAGGCCGAGATTGGCAGTGAAACTTTACTTTATAGAGGCAATACAGCTTCTTGGTGAGAAGGCAAAGGCCCAGCTGTTGTCCAGGAGACTGATGAGAGTGTCTCTGGTGTGGCACATGTGGCATGCTGCACAGGGTTTAAAAAAATAAAACCCAGATGGAACCACCATTCTTGACCGCACCCAGATACAACGTTCCCTAAAAAGCACCATTTGGAGAATTATGAACTAAATTGTCTTGGTTTGCATGGCACACCAAACCAAATGCCCAGTGAATGAGAACATTAGCACTTTGCCCATCCTCTCAATAACTGTGTGCGTGTGTGTGTGTGTGTGTGTGTGTAGTTCATTAACACCGTTTTTCTTCCAAATTCAAAAAAAGTGTGCCATTTGAGGTTACGGAATGCTTAAACCTGTAACACACCTTGGCTGCAAAATCCATTTTCAATCCATCTCAAATGTTGACTGTTTCTGGTTCAGATTGCACACCGTGAAGTCATGTTTATTTTTCAATCTTAGCAATATTAAGATGTCTGGACTTCAGCCCCCAGAGTTCCCCCATGCTGATTGGGGGAATTGTGGGAGTTGGAAGTCCAGATATCTTAATGCTGTCAAGGTTAGAAACCCTGCATTACGTTTATGACTGGCTATGCACAGGTGGGGAAAACAGGTGTGCTCTTTTCACCAGGCATTTGGGTTTAGTGTTGCGTAAATACAAGTCCAAGAGCAGAACTCAGCGCATACCTTTCATAAGTCAAATACTACTCTGAAAAGAAGGGCTGGACTGGACTCCAGCGTATAGGTATGTATAGAGAACTGCTGGTGTGATGTATCTTTCAAAGCTCCAGGGATATTTCAAAGGTGAACCCCTTGTTCAGAAAGTTTTCTGGGTTAATAGATGGCATCAGCAAGAAGATGCTGTAGTCCAGCCTCCTGTTTTTTTTCTGTGTCTGAAAATGTGGGCCTGACATGCCTTTACCCTATCGGAGGCAACTGGTTGGGAAAATCCCTTTTAACAACGTTGACAAATCAACCCACTGAATGGTAGGAAAAACAAGGTACAGAAGCAGCAGCGAAGAGAGCTGAAGAAGGAATGACAACACACACATACACACCCCGGCGCCTCTGATTTGCTTTTGCCTCGCCGTCAGTTCATGATCGCTTGTGCGTTAGAGAGGCAGACTAAGAGAATGGCAGGACTGGGTTCTTTGCTGTCCTCCATCAGGGTGTCTTAGCTGCTGAGTGAAGTTTCAGGGCAAAAGAAGAGATCCCAGCTCCAGAGTCCATCCCCGTCCCCAAAACTGATCCCTTCCTCCCCAAACAATAGCTGGGGGAAAGGAAAACAAAAGGACCAGTGCCAGGAGACAGGAAAATCAAGGATTCTCGGAAGGTCCTGGGTGCAATAAAAATAGCACTGAAGTGGGGAGAGGGATAAAGAGAAGTCCCTACAGGAACTATCCCGGGGAGAATGGTCCAAGAAAGATGTTCCCGGCAAAAACCAAGAGACCCATCGCTACCAGTGGCAACTCTTGAGGATAATGTCCAAGGTGATGGGATCTGGCGAGGAGCCCGGCGCTGTCTCCTCCCACAGGATGTCCACGCCACTGGTTCAACAGTTTCTGAGATAGATCTCAGGAGCCTTCTTTGTGGTAACTCAGCAACCTTCTCAAAAGAGAGAGAGAGAGAGGAAGGTACTGTGCCTTCACTCCGGTTCCAACGGGGGTTCTGCCACCATGATGCCTTGCTGCAACTTCTCAAGGGAGAGCTTCATCTGGTGGAAAGAGAAGAATAAGTTATTCCCCAGAGAGGAAAGCCAGGCCCCAACCAACAAGAAGGAAGCTGGGGTTGTTGTGTTCACGTTGTGGGAAACGGAGCCGGTTGTTTTTGCAGAACGGTAAGAAGACATGCTAGCCTGGGAAGAAAATATACGTCGTGTATGTTTCTAATCTCATGAGCTAGGCTGAAGCTTGAGAACTGTATGTAGCAAGGCCTCTGCTATGCTAAAAACCGGCCTTAACTAGAATTTCCTGATTGATAGTTACTTTAGAGCAGTGGTGGCTAACCTTTTTGGGCTTGCGTGCCAACACCCAGAAGGCAATGCGCATGCCCACCACGCCCCCTTACCTGCACTGTGCCCCACACCTGATTTTTGGCTGGTTTGAGGCCTTTTTTGGCCTCCCAGAGGCTTGAAAAAAAGCCTCTGCAGGCTTTGCAAACCAAATAATAGGCCTGTTTGTCACTTCCGGTGTTACAGGAAATGATGAAATGGGCCTATTCGTCCTGCAAAGCCTGCAGAGGCTTTTTTCAAGCCTCTAGGGAAGCCGAAAAAGGCCTCAAACCAGCCGAAAATCAGCTGTGAGGCATGCACATGTGTAGTGAGGTAAGTTTGCCTGCGGCTCTGCGTGCCACCTGTGGTACGCTTGCCATAGGTTTGCCATCACACCTCTAGAGCAAGAGTCTTCAAACTTGGCAAGGTTAAGACTTGGGACTTCAACTCCCAGAATTCCTGAGCTAACATGGCTGGAGGAGGAATTCTGGGAGTTGAAGTCTACAAGTCTTAAAGTTGCCAGGGTTGGAGATGCCTGCTCTAGAGACAACCTCCAGAGGTCTTCTAGTCTAACCCCCTACTTATGTAGGAAACCCTACACCACTTCAGACAAATGGTTATCCAACATCTTCTTAAAAGCCTCCAGTGTTGGAGCAGTCACAACTTCTGGAGGTAAGCTGTTCCACTGATTGTTCTCATTCAGGAAATTTTTCCCTAGTTCTAAGTTGTTTCTTCCTTGATTAGTTTCCACCCTTTGCTTCTTGTCCTGCCCTCAGGTGCTTTAGAAAATAGCTTGACTCCCTCTTCCTTGTGGCAGCCCCTCAGATATTGGAAGACTGCTATCATGTCAGCCCTAGTCCTTCTTTTCATTAGACTAGACATACCCAGTTCCTGTAACCGTTCTTCATACGTTTTACCCTCCAGTCCCCTAATATTAAAGTACTGGTTGAACCCAACCTATGGGCAAAGATCCCATCAGCATTTCAGTGCATGTTTGTACTCCACACGTAAATGAGCCTTAAGCCAGACCTATGCAATCTTGTGACTTCCAGAGGTGATAAGTCTATACTGCCCATACAATTGTTTCAACACATTGAGAGAGAATTGGGGTATTAAAGGTTTGCTTAAATGGTCACCGTAGCAGTTCATAGTCAAGTGTGAATGTTGGGTATCCAATTCCATATCCTAAGATTTTAGATTTTCTGTCTTTTTGTTAAGTATGGATGGGGAATCTGCACTCCTCCCATCACTGGATTTGGTGCCTCCAAGAATCCCTCAGAAAGAGAATCCTTGCTTTGAAGTTTAAAAAGCTGGTTTCAAAATTTTTGGTATAGAGGTAAACACTCTGGTGCCTTCCTCCCCATCTGAACTTCAACATCCATCAGGCCTAACAATGATGAAGGAATGAAGTCTGATATATCTTAATATCCTCTGTATGGTCAACATCTGATGGAAATCTCTGGCTCTAAAAAGGGGCTTCTGGAAACCAAGGGTTGGAGCATCCTTTCTCACATTTTCTATGAGCTTAGCTGGACTGGAGGAACATTCAGACTGGAGAACAAACCTCATCCAGAAGTTCCACTGATGCCTTCAGGATCTGTTTCCACTTTTGCACCTCCACGCTATGGAACTGTTTCTGCAACTCCAAAATCTCTGCCCATTCTGAGGCCGTCTGTGGAAGCTTCCTACCAAGCAAGAAGGAGACAGAAATCTCTTAACTGCAATGGATCAGCAGTGGTACCCGCTCCCGGAGTTCAATTCCTATGAATGATCACACCCATCACTAATGTAGAAGCCAGTTGGCCTTCCAGAATCTAATTCCCCTGATTCTAAGGCTGGGGAGCAACCTTTTGCCAGAAGCTATATTCTCTTCTCAGTAACCTTTTTAAAATAGTGATTTGTTTTATGGCTAAAAACATACCAGAGGGGGTGAGATTTTATAGCACTAGCACTTAGACTTATATACCGCTTCAGTCTTTACAGCTCTCTCTAAGTGGTTTATATCGTCAGCCTATTGCTTCCAACAATCTGGGTCCTCATTCCATCCTCAAAAGGATGGAAGACTGAGTCAACCTTGAGCTGGTGAGAATCAAACTGCTGGCAGTCGGCAGAATTAGCCTGAAATATTGCATTCTAACCACTGCACCACGACAGCTCTTGGGCTTTAGAGGTATGGAGGGAAGGTTATAATTCTATTTTAGAAGCCAGTTAGGCCTAACAGAAAATCAGCTTGCATCTACCTGGGGTTTCTGGTTGGTCAATCTTGATGGATGGACTTCATCTGAAAACTTTTCTCAAGCATCCTTCCAAACACGGCAGGATCCAAGTTTTAGGAATGCTTCCTCAAAAGACTCTGGTACCTATCTTACAACTTCACTATGCCAAACAAAAAACATTTCATTGGCTCAAGCGTTTTAGAAACTGTGGGAAGTTTACAGCACTTTATTGCCAATGATTTTCTCTCGGTTACTGTACTGTGGGATTTTTTCATTGGGTTTTATATTGTTTTATTGTATTCTATTTTATTCCACTCAGAGGACTACATTTATTAGAGAGCAATTAATTAATTCTATTGGCTATGGAAAGGCAAAGGATATCAGCTTCCTAAATCCTGTCGCATAGTATTTCAAATAATTTACTGACCCTCGGTATTCAACCACCTGCTTAACATACATTTATATCTCACTTTTTCTCCAGAAAAGTGGTATCCTTTCTTTGTTTTATCCTAGCTACTTTATAAGATAAATTCACTTAAAAGAATTGATTATCTGTCCTCCTTAGGGAAAGACTAAAAGCCTGACATGTTTATTTGAATTATGTTATGCTTTTCCAGGCAATAGCCCAGAACATTCAATGTTAGACAGTATGTTTTCCAAAGTTGTGCTCAAAACAAATTGTAAGTCTTAAGCTAATCACTGTTTAGCACTGGAAAAACTTTACAGTTACAATAATTATTTTAAAATATGCTGCATAATTCATCATCGTTTCACACAGTGTCAAATCTTGGTTTACCACTGAAGATATAACTCAGCCAGGAATGTAAATAATTTTGGCTTTCTTTTGAGGGTTCCTGACCTGCTTTAAAATATTCTGATAATAGATACGTTTATCATTCCACTTGTATCCGTTTTGGTTTCTGTTATGTCTTTATTGATTTATACCCAGCCTTTCAACAATAAGATACAATTTGGTTATGACTACTTTCTTTTTACATTTTAAGCATCAAGATTTTGCAAAGCAAAATGGTCAAAACGATTAGTGGCTTTGATTTAGAGTTCAAAAGCATCACAGGTATAAATATACCTGATTTAATGTTGTCTAATTTAAAAACATTTTCATAGCAGAGCTACGCTCTTTCTCAACCTCTGCAACTTTAAGATATGTGGACTTCAACTCCTAGAATTCCCCAGCCAGCATAAATGCTATTGATGGACTGGTGGGATTATGTACCATCAAGTCAGCGTCTACTCTAAGCAGTCACACAGACAGACCTTCTCTGGAATGATCTTTCCCACCCTTCTCCTTCAGTTCTTCCAGAAGTGTAGCCATTGCAATTGAATCCATCTACCTTACTGGTGGTCATCCTCTTGTCTCTCTCCTTCCAGTTTTTTCACCATTATTAACTTCTTAAGGGGCTTACGTCTTTACAGAAGGTGTCCAAAATACGAAAAATTGAATCTGGCTAGTTGTATGTTTTAGTGAGAAGGATTTGTTCTGTGATCTATCTATAGCTGATTTTCTTGGCCCTCCGTGATATTCTCAAGGAGTGTTGTCCAACAACTAAGATCCAAAGCTGCTGCTTCAAAGTCCAACTTTCACTTCTTATAGAAGTCCCAAGGAAACCCACTGCTTGCATAGTCTTATGTCAGTACATATTGGCTCATCCAGACATCAGAATATCTTTTTCAATGCCTTCATTGCTATTCTTCCAGGGGCTAATTATTTCTTGACATAAATGCTAAATTATATTAAACCAGCAATAAGCTACCTCGAGAAGATTGTTCTCCCTTTCCCTCAATTCAAACTGCATCTTGTCAAGATTTTTGAGAAAATCCATGAGCTGTGATGGTGCAGTGGTTTGAATGCAATATTGCAAGCTGACCCTGCCTTCCACTGTCAGGAGTTCGATTCTCAGGTTGACTCAAACTTCTGTCCTTCCGAGGTCAGTAAGATGAGGACCCAAATTGTTGGGGACCACATACTGACTCTGTAAACCTCTTACAGAGCGCTGTAAACCACTATGAAATGGTACCTAAGTCTAAGTGCTATTGCTACATTAGGTAAGGTAAAGGTTCCCCTCGCACACACATGCTAGTCGTTTCTGGCTCTAGGGGGCGGTGCTCATCTCCGTTACAAAGCCAAAGAGCCAGCGTTGTCTGAAGACATCTCCATGGTCATGTGGCCGGCAGGACTAAACACTGAAGGTGCACGGAACACTGTTACCTTCCCCCTAAAGGGGTCCCTATTTTTCTACTTGCATTTTTACATGCTTTTGAACTGCCAGGTTGGCAGAAGCTGGGACATGAAACGGGAACTCACTCCATTATGCGGCGCTAGGTATTCAAACTGAACTGCTGACCTTTCTGATTGACAAGCTCAACGTCTTAGCCACTAAGCCACCATATCCCTATATTGCTACATTAGCTTGCATTAAATTCTCAGAATCTCTAAGAGTAGGAAAGTCAGTCTCCCATTTTCTCTTTCCCAGAGAGTCTTTCTCACCCACTGGAGAGCGCATACGTCTGCCATGACTCCACGGTTCGGGCTGTGTGCTCCAGAGACCACAGCCGGTAGAACAGCATCATGTTGAGGATAACCAGAACTAAAAGACTAGAGAAACACAAACACGTTGGTAACATAAAGGACCCCTTTAGACCAAGGTGACACTCAATTCCAGCTAGAATGTGGTAGGATTCCTCCATATGTCACAGGAAGCACATCCCCTATATAATACACACACACACACACAGAAAGACAGAAAGGGGATGTGCTTGTGAAATATGGAGGAATTTTTACTCATTTAAATTCTACCACACACACACACACACACAAAGCATTATTCCCACCTTGGGGGATTTGGTATAGAGTCAGAATGAGAATGTATACTCACTGGGAATCATCTCCTATTAATGACCCCATAATCCCTTGCGGGATGGAGTCAGGGCAACTGCATGGAGCTGAGTGTTTGCTGGACGGATGCCCTTCCTGTCGCCAATGCGGATTTTTATTCAGCAGATATATTCTCACTGTGCCCAGAGAGAGAAATGTCTGCCTCTACCTAGGATTGAACTCACAGCCTCCTGATTGTGAGGCGAGAGCTCCACCTCTAGGCCACTAATGGATATTCACTGGGAATAATCCCTTCAAGATCATGATTAAAAGGATGCCATGTAACAAAAACACCTAGGGATTAAAATAGCCTGATATCCCTGTTATGGTTACCTAAGAATAACGACATAGTAAAATAGCATCCCTAAAGTCTGCCCTTCACGGTTTGCCTTAATCCTGCAGCGATCTATTTGGTTTGGCTTCAAATGTGGTTAAACGAGCCTTTATACCACTGAATAACCGCCTGGCTTAATGCAATGTGTGAAGGGAGTCTTTCAATCACCGTAAATGGTCATCGAGGAAACACATCAATGCATCTGGATCGATAAGAGGAAGGAGAGAAGCCACATCATGCATGCCATGCTGTCATCGCGCAGCGGATATGAATTTCATAATTTGCGCAACCTCATCGGGGCCGGTATCAGACATCTATGCATTGATAGTGCTCCTGGTGCAGAAGATAATCTCAGCTTGAGCTGATGAAGGGGTTTGGAGCAGGCAGAGTTAACTCCCAGAGATAGTCTTACTATTTTTGCATAGGCAATCACATTAACCTTGGACACAAAATCCATCTTCCTTTCAGTGGCTGGCCCTCTAAAGCTTTAAAAATGTATAGGCTGAAATATCAGAAGCCCAAGGAATGAAGATAGGCAGGGAGAAAGTTAGCCCCCCCCCCCCCGCCCATCAGTGGCAGGACAGAACAGGGATGCTTATGCTGTAAGAGCAATTGGTAAGTTTAACGAGGTGAACAAGAAGGAAACTGTAGTTGGAAGGCAGACTCTAGCTAAGGATTTGGGCCGCCTGTTGTTTCCTGGTCTCCCGTTTTAATCTGGCTGGGGATCACAGTTTAGAATTGGGGCGAGGGATAAGAGACGCGGCAAGCAGAGTGCAATGGGGGCGAGGGGTGAGTGGAAGACATCATGAAAGCGACTGCCAGAGACAAGAAGAGGATTGAAATGGCAGGAGTCATGAAGGCCAATCAGGAAACCAGAACTAAGCCAGGATGAAGAAGCCGCTTGGGCCTTGGGATCGTAAGAAAGGAAGAAGGAAGGCGGGTTGGAAGCTGCAGGTTTTCAAAGCAGGAAGGCATGGCAGGATGGTGGGGGGGGGTCAAGGGAGGGGACAGGGATGTCCAAGGCAACAGCAACATGGCCAGTGCTGTAGGGCAGTAGGCATACAATACCTCACACAGATCCTATGCGGAGGCAAGAACGAAAAAGAAAGAAAGAAAGAAAGAAAGAAAGAAAGAAAGAAAGAAAGAAA